AAACAGATTTGTAGATTTAAAGAAAAAATATTTTAATAGTTATTATGTTTGTTTAATTTACAATGTTAAATTATTTAAAGTCAATAATTATTTTGAGTCACACAAAATGAATTTTTAACTACTACTTCATTAATTAATAGCATAAGTGGGTTTAATCACAACCAAATTCTCTCTACTGTTAACTGTTTTATTTGTTCCAAATGTTTTATTCTTAAACAGAATCAACTAATGTTCTTCTAATTAGAAAGACAACAAAAATATTTGAGAATTTTTGAAATAAAATCCTTGATATGAATTTATAATTGAATAAAGAAATATAAATCATGTAATGATTTACTATAAAAATAAAATAAAAATCTGATATGGGAAAAAACTAATAAGAATAAGTATTTTTCTATAATGTGTTATCAAGTAATTTCAAATTTGATTATAAATTTATTAATGTCATTGATATTCAATCCATGTTAAAATTCAAAATTTATACAACTACCAGAAGACAACATATTAGATGCAATAAAGGCAGAACTAAGATGTATTCTGATACTTGTGAACATTAAGAAATATCAGATTTTAAATAACTACTGATATCTACAAGTGACATGCTGTACAAGTCATTATTCTGCACATTTTTAAAATTAATTTCATTCTACTTGTTATGAGTTGTTTGTTTCAAGTCAAGTTATAAAATTCCTCTATTTTATACAAAAATCAGTATTAGGCCAGTCACTTTTTTCCCCAGTATTTCAAATAGTAGTATTTAACATCAGCAAAAACTGACATTTTTTTTCAATTCTTCAATATTCTTTATATTTTTTATATATTTATTGTATTTCAATGGATTCTGTAGTCAAAGAAATCTATTTGTGATATGGATGCAGTTATCTCGTATCTGTTATCTTAAGTCTTTTGGACCAAGTTGAATTGTTGATCTGTTCTGTGTGAATAAACCATGAAGGTATAGATTACATTCTTACACAAATTCCATATTATAGAATATATTATCGTATATTATTTCTGAAAAATTCAAAAATTCTCTCATTTCATATTTTAACTGCCGCTTTGTTTATTATTATGGAATGCTTTTGTCAAAATATTTAAAATTTGAAATATATATGTTGAATTATGAAAAAAAGTATTATTTCAGAAAAATTCAAATAGAATCAAAAATGATCCCAACTGCAAAAGGATGAACAATTTTTTAATTTTAAAGCAATAAATTAGAATTAATTTTATAATCTTGTATTCACTTTTCTGTAGGATTACTTCATTCATTGGACAATCATAAAAGCTTTGCTGCAATAAAAATATTTGACTCAGAAAATTTCTCAAAACAAAAACTTATTAGATTAAGTATTTACATTTAAATAAATCTGATGACAGTTTTATATAATCCTAACAAAAATGCCTCTTTGTGGCTTAATTCTTAAAATAAATTTATCTAAAGTGTAAGCAGTATATAAAATAAGGAAATATCTGAATTTAATTAAGGATACTGTATAAGCAAAATATACCACTAAATGAAAAAAAAAAAACTAAAAACTAAGCAACACTTTGATATAAAAAGTAAAATAAGAATATTAACATTCTATAAGGATTCTCATTATATGAAATAGTCAAAATTTTATTAAAATTTTTAAACAAAACAAAGTGGAGACAATTAAGTTGTATTGGAAATAAGGTGTCTCATGCCAAGTTAGAGACTAATTGCTCTAACCAGACACAGGAGCAAGGCCTTAATTTGCAGCATATTCCACCTCCCTTTTGGGCGATTTTGCTTAATATACAAGACAAGGAATCTTTCTTTTCATATTCAAGATATGGACATGTGCCTGTTATAAGGAAAAACTTTAATATTTAAATAAACTTCACATCCAATTTATTTTATCTTATGCATAATTAAATGTTTTGCAAAATTTTGCAAATGTGTAATCTAATTTGTAAATGTAGAAAATATATAATAAACAGAATAAAATTGATCAAACTTACTTCAATTTGAACTTTTCCATGACAAAATATAAAGACAAATACAGTCGACCCCCCTATAAGACAGTAGATACGTTCCATTCTTTAGGAATACAATTTCTTACGAGTCCTTCCAATCACAGCCCGACACGTGTCAAGTTTACGGACTATGGCTGTTTGAAAGGTTTTCTTCCATACAATTAATCGATTCTAGACTAATCCGACTCAACATTTCCAAAATACGTATATTTTTTTTGGAAATAATCCATATAAACTATGCTATAAACAAAAAATTGTAGGATTACTTATCGAGTGTGCACCATTCGACATCACTATTGCTAAAGCTTGTTTTCATCGCGGAACAACTCAGCAAACTGCGGCCGCGATTTATGATGTTAGTTTTCTGCGAAAACTTCGCTGAACTTTGGAGACATCATTAATATAAATAATTTTTATCGCCGTTGAATAAGAAATGTTTCTTTCACAAGAAATGTATAAAATTACAGTACTGTATTAGACTTACGGTACCTAATTTACATACTGTACAGACGATAGTTCGCCTAAACTCTCCGTAGCGTGGCGCCAGGCGGCGGAAAATATATATATAATTATAATAAAGTTACAATAAATTAAGTTAATATATAATTATATATACAGTACCTAATTTATATATAATTAATATATAATTATATGTACAGTACCTAATTTATATATAATTTATATATAATACTGTACAGACGATAGTAATCTCTCTGTAGCGTGGTGCTTGACGGCGCGGAAAGTAGTTCGGCTGCCCGATGACGTTTTACGTAATTATAGGAGTTTTTTTTACCATTTTTTATGGATACCGTCGCAATTTTTTCGCTGTCTTATAGGAATCGTAATTATAGGAACCCGTTTTATAGGGGGGTCTACTGTAATAAAAATGATAATATTCCAGCAGAACTTTAATCAAGAATTAAGATATGTATTTTACGTATTTTGTAATGAAGACTTTTTTGATTGATATTTGATTAATTCTATTTTGTGTAAACTTCAGAAATGTTACTCATTTTAATTATTTTACTAAAATAAATATTTTAATTTCTTTTTAAAATTTAATAATTTTTACCAAAATAAATTTGGTGTTAATTAATATTATGTACTTACCAGTAGGATGGCAATTACAGGACCAACAAAACTAAAAATGAAGTAATTGTTGGCCTGTAACCAGCAGTGATGTTTAGTTCCATAACTAGAGGGATCGACTGCAGCTGAAATACCAACAATTATTGCAGGAATTCCATAAGCCAACAAATAATACCAGAAGACGCGAGATTTTTCTGTCTCGAACACTTCGATGAGCATCACGTACAACTGGAAACCCTCTAAAAACATCCAAGAAAAGGCAGCAAGGAAAAAATAATGCAATAATCCAGCTACAATCCCACAGATAATTGGAAGATGGGTTTGAGCAATTCCTCCGACAAATACAATTTCAGCAATTAATAAACAGGCACACAGATTTTTATGAATTGTAGTTCTATCGCTTTTGAGTCCTCTGTAAAAAAAGGTTTCTGTTAGTATGATACACACAAATTTCATATTGTTATAAATTGAATTATTTACCTCAAGAACTGAAATGCCAATATAGTCAAAAAGAGGCAAACAATTGAGACAATACAGCCAACATAAGTTATCACTCGTAAAGCTACTTCATGTCCATAGGACAACTGATAAAATAAATTACACAATATAATGATATAGTGGACATTCACTTAAGAACTATGTAAAATTTATATTTTTACTTACAGGAATTGCTTGTACATCCATTAATATAGCAAAGTTTGTCAGATGATTGCAAGAACAAACTGTGTGTGTGTAATTATAGCCAATTACCATACATCCTTTTTGTGACCATTCACTAGAATTTATATTTTTGTCAATTAATAATACCAATTCTTCTTTTAAAAAACTTTAGAATACTTACCTTCTCTCATAATTCCAAAAAACACAGCGTGGATTTGTAACATTTTCAACCTGTACCAAAATATTTTTTAATTCACACTATTGTTTTGGTATCAATTTTATGTGATAAAATTCTTTCTAGGATATTGAATTACAGATGTACATTATGAGTAAATTAAAAATAGGAATTGTGAGCAGTTGACACTGAATGAAGTACTACATAACCTGTTTTTCAAGTATGAAAGTTGATTAAAAAAAACAAAGAAACAGGTACCTTTGTTGATTTAATTAATCAACAAAAGTGCTTGAGTTTAAGCTTTTTTCATTTTCTCTCTTCTAATTTAGCACCCACAAAATAGGTTATACTTGTATAGTAGGTAATTAATTGTATATAACGTTTATGTAATGTCTTTCCATATCAATGGATTGGAATTGATATATTAATTGCATATTTATTATTTAAAGTATAAAAACTTAATTTGATAAGACAAGACATGAAAAACTTTTGACTTATATTTAACAAAAATTTGACTAACATATAAGATTAAACTGATCTGTTGATATGGACATTTACTCTTACCTGCATATGTTTAAGAGTGATAATGATTGGTTTTGATAGCTTAGTAACTTTCTTCCTTCCTAAAGCTACACTTAATATTTTACTATTAACTATCTCTTTCACACTCTTTTCCAAATTCTGCATACTACTGTACATAGCATTGGGTGGGTCAGGATCTAAGATTTCATCCAGTTTGTTATACATTAAGAATATTACCGTCACTATACCTAAAGAATTAATTGAAATTTCCATTTTAAATACACAAACAAAATATATTCTTACTTCTATGTAATATTTTACCAACCATTTTTTGCATTTTCTTGTAAAGATTGAGAAGATAAATATACCGAACTTTCATCTCTCCATTTTGAATTGTCTTTAATCCTAGGCAGAGTCATGTCACGAACCGAATGCATTTGTAATACATTAACTTCTACCACTGAAAATTAAATTTGAAATTTGGATCAGGTTACAGAATAATTCAGAAATAGCAATACAAAGCAGCAATTAACTTACAGACATTATCTTGTTTATAATCAAATTGTTCATTATAATTCTGAGTATCTGCTAAGAGTAAGGCATTCTGTTCGAGACCTCTTAAAAGTGAGGATGCTGCCAAATCTTGATCTGAATGAGGGAGATCGTTCCAAGAGTCACTGTGAAGTTCGTCAAGAATATTGCTGCTAGTATCAACTACTGCCTAAATGAATTTAATGAATTTAATAAATTTAAACAACATTAAAAATTGGAAAGTTTTAATTTTATTTAATCAAAAATTAATATTTAACCTGAGTCAGTTCTTTAACTACTTGATGTCGTTTATCCACAGAAAATTCCGAAACATTCTCCTCCATTGTTGTCACTAATTTTTTAATAATACTAACAGTTTTCAAGATGTCTCCTCCATACAACAACTTATCTCTGGTAATGGAAGCCAGTTCAACTGCAATGTTGACCAGGGAATCTTTTTCTTTAATCTAAAAAAAACAACAAAAACAACAAATTTGTCTTATTCAATAGTTATCATCATTATAAAAATATTTTGACATTAAAACAGAAATCATAACTTATTATTGTGAGTGAATTAAAACACAGATCTTGAAAATATATGCAAATAGATCTGATTTACCATATTAGTCTGAGTATGAGATGCTTCAGAATGCAAGACATGCTCAATTTTCAAGAACTAAATTTGAAAATAAACACTTATTAATTACACACACTTAACATATATACTAATAAATTCCATTTTAACTGAACAAAATATCACTATAGAAGAGGAAAATAGCAATTTTCTACTAAGAAAGTATAAGCTATTGAATCTTTAAACATCTAAGTCTTTAAAAATTGTATATTGTAACTAATATTGGAATATTGATATCTCCTAACAGCATATTGTGAAAGGATTGTTAATATAATCTCAGAGCTTTAAATATGGTAACTAGCAGCAGCAGGTTAATGTGAATGATCAACAAACAAATTGCAGGCATCCCTTACCAACTGGGGGTTACATTCCAAAAAAGTGGTACAAACAGTAAAACCACAGTTGCCAAAACAAAGGGTCTATAGATAATAAATGGTTAGAAAAAGAAAGATAACCACAACATTAGAATATGTGTTGTAAAACTAAATATTTTATTTTTTATTATAACATCAAAAATACAGCAATACAATGAAACATTTTTGAATCTTAGGACTGTTTCAAACTGTTTGAGAAGCATCTTGTTAAAAAAGCTGAGAATTGAAGACAAATTTAAAAAATATGAAAAACATTCAAACATTTTTGGTGAATTATTAAAGGGCATCACCAATCTTTCTGATCTTTACTAAAAATTGAAAAATAGGTTTAGTGACTGGATCAATATTTATAAGATAAATCGGTATGGTTGTATACCATCAGTGATAGATAAGAGAATAAAGTTGATTTTGGTATTTAATAATAAGTAATTTTTTTTAATTATACAAAGAGAGAATTTATATTTATTTTAAAGTACAGTATAATTTATTCATAATCAAAATATTAAATATTACTACTATATATTTTTAAATAACGGTTCGAAAAATGACAAATGAATCCCATATTTTTATCTCAAAAAACTTATTTTTTTATTTATAAATTTTTTGAGATACATGTAATATTTTTTTTATTTATATTACATGTATCTCAAAAAAAATCTTTAAAATGTAAAAATACACTGAAGAAATTTCTTCAAAACAATGCATTTTGCATGTTAAAAAAATATAATTTGTGAAAATAATTTTATTTTTATGAATATAAAATATACAAGTTGACTTTGATAAGATTGAATTAAACTAAATGATAAAAATTCTGTTGGATTTTGTCTTGCAAATTAGTAATGATTTGAAACATTAAATTAAAAATCTAGAATAAAACTTTTCTATGATTCTATAGCTGATAAAGTTAAACATTATATGTTTAATCAGTTTGCAATTGAATTTATTATTGAATCTTATGAGTAATAAATTTATACTGTCATCAGCATTTAATGTTACTCTTGTACTGTGATGTAATGCATGTGTATAAATTTTGAATGGTTGAAGATTGTCTCTGAACTTATCTTAGCCTAAGAAAAAATGGATAAAATATAATTTTTGGAGATTATGACGTAAAATTTCTGTCTACAAAGAGCACTATAACAGTTGGCAGTGTTTTTTATTTCATTTCTAAGCATATTATGAATGATAAACAAATTTATATCTTTTCTAACTGCAATCATTTGGGATTCATTGCATTTATCAGGTGCATTTAAATAAAAAAACTTTTTCTGTATATGAATCATATTAGAATCTAATCTAATATTATACAAGATGAATCTATTAAAATTACAATTAAAAATAAAATAATCTTAAACTTAGCTAGTTTAATTCGAAATAGTTTGCAGGATTTCAAATACACAATTCATAGTCAATTTTACTATACAATATAATAAGGTACACACCAAAATAAATGCATAGAAATAAAAAAGATGATCCTTCTTGGTGTTAAGATATGAACATAGTTTAACACCAAGAAGACAGATTTTACTTCATACAGTTTCAGTATTTTTATAGTTTTGTATATTTTGGAAGGAAGCTTAAGTAGGCCAATCATAGCAAAGTTAGTGTTGGAAACTTCAAATAATATCACTAGAAGGATATTTTCAGAACCTATTTTCTTGATAGTGTGTTTAGAAATAATTATACTACAAACCATACCACAAGATGGCCTAAAGATAACATTGTAATTTAATCAACCATCTAATTTAATTCTATCCTGAAAATAATCTGGCTTTTAGATACATTTATTTAGAAAAGTGAAGATAGGATTAATTACAAAAGTGTACAGAAAATTATAATCAATTTCTGATGTTGCAAGAAAGAAATTTAAAAGATTAATGCAACTTGTTTTCATTACATTTGTTTATTTTGAAAGAAATCTCATGATTTCTTTATTCTAAGAGGTTTTTGTAAGATTGTGTTTTTCTGGAAAAATATTCCAGCAGAAAAACAATGAAATGAAATTCCTTACCATCATCAAATCTCTGAAAGTTGTAAGTGTAATAATGTACTCGTCAACAAAATTCTTTTATTGTTTTTGTAGAACATAATGTCTCGTTTTATGCTCTCAAGATGAATCATAATGAATCCAAAAACATTGATTTGTAAAGCAAACAAGTTCAAAGAAATGTGAAATATTAAATATTTGTTCTTTAATGTAAACAAGCATACAGTGTATATATATTACACACATGCACACAGCTGTATGTACCATAGTTGTCAACCCAATTCATTCTCATAAATGCAAAATTATCGAAACTTTGAGAAGTTCAAGAGCAGCTTACAAGGAATTAAATAATATTGAATGAATTATGTGATATGGTAATTTGTGTTGTTTACTTTGTCTTTACTGCAATCCAATGATGCATTATGAGCTGATGACTTATCCATAATTTGATTTATTAATTGTCACACTTGATCAACATCAAATTTAAATGGATTCTAAAAATTTTTGGATTTATTCCATTATTCCAAATTTGGATTAGGACAGATATTTTAATAAGTAGAATTCTGTCTTTTTATTTACATAGTTTTTACATGTAATTTATTTTTTTGTTTTTAACTGTATCTTATTTTTTGTGTATAAAACTCATGGTAACTTAACTTGTTAGAGATGATTCTTTCTTTAATAAATGAAAGAGCAAGTATTTCTTAACTGCTTCTTTGGGTCTACATCACTATTTCAAGTTATAAAGAAACTTAATAGATATTTAACAAGTTTAATAGTGCTGTTAGTCTTAGTAGTGATGTTAAGGAAATATCAAGATTAAAGTGGAAAAAAGTGTTTGTCTGTAATTTAGATCTATGGACCATTAAAGAAACTCTTCAAAACAAACATTAAAAGTTCTTACTTTGATGTCTTCATTCAACAAGTTTTTAAATTTAACATTATAAATTCTATTTTAAAAATATCTGAATTTGTTTGATCATCACACAAAGAATTATATTTTGGTTTTTAAAAGAACTTTGCTCTGTTTTTGCTAAGCAGTTTACACTCATAATTTTTTTTTGCAACAATTATATATTTAAGAATAAATATTTGAATATTATGTATTTCTTAATAGATTCAGTAAGTCATGTATTTATTAATCAGCAAGCAATTTCATGTATTCTTTATTTAACATGAATAATTTTCTTTTATGTTCTAATTAATTAGTTAAAACAAATTATTTTTAAATAATATATTTATATGTATCCATCCATTCAAAGAAGAAGCCAAAATAATGAAATATTTCTAATTCATTAAAAGAATATTTTAATTATAAAAAATTTTATTAATGTGAATTACAATGTTTCATCTGTATAATATATTTTTAAATGTATAAATCTATTGAGCTTTTTAAATATCATCTGCTAAAAGTCACAAAAATGGTAGTTCAAATTTCGAAGTATTTAGTCAAGAAATTTATAGAATTCCTTGCAAATGGAATGACCAAAATTCCAAATAGAACTTATAAAAATTTCTAAATCTTGATTAATTTATTGATTTGTAAAATCATATTTTATTTAAGAATTTCAGTATTTTCTGCAACACTTCAAAATCTGCATTTCCTCAGAATACATCCGTGATTTAATTGAAAATAAATTTATACTTCTAACTTGATGAATCTTTAAAATCAAAACCATCTTTATGGACTTTTGTAATGAATAACAGTTTGGCTGTAAACTAACCCGATGTAGAAATAAACAAAGAGTTAGTTTACAGCCAAAGTTATGTAATTAAATTATGATTACTTGTTTATAGTTAGTGCTTATTTATAAATAATGTGAAAATAATAAATAAAGGCCATGGCAAAATTTGAGATAGATTACTTAAAATTGAAATAACATTTTTTCATATTAAGTTTTCATTTCTCTGTTATCTTTTTGAAATATATTTCTTACTAAATGTTACTGTAGTTTGGAGAATAAGTAATAAAAAGAAAAAAAGGTTACTTACTCGTTCTTCAAAATTATTCACCCAAAGAGAATTACAGTCGCTAAGATCGGGATATTCTGGGAGCCATCTAACAGGATGCATACCACATTGCCAAACAGCAACTCCTGCAAACAAAAGTAGTTAGTTTAGTTAGCAAGCAAAATTGTATAAAACTAAAGTTTTATACATTTACATGCATTTATACATACCTGTAGAACCACTGGGGCATTTCTGTCGTGAAACTTCTCCAGCTCTAGTCCAGTTCCACATAATATTTCGTAACTTCACAGGTGGGCAGAAATGCTCTCTAGGATCTTCTGTTGAAGTTGGATAGTCTGATGATGATTCCACTGTTATAAAAATATTTATTTAATACATTTGGAAGGAATTGTCACTCATTAAACTATTACCTAACAAGAAAATAATAAAGATATGAACAGAAAATAATTTTGCAGATTACATTAGTCTAAATAAATTCATTCTTTAAATATTAGTTATAATAATTTTTAAAAGTAATGAAAAAGTATTAGTAAATACATTTTCTAAAAGAAGTTGAACATTAAACTTTTATTCAATAAAATTTTGAACTTTAAAATTTAAAATAAGTTTATAAAATAAAAATTCCAAGCTTACTTATTGGAGAAAAAGATGAAAGCCTGATAAATGTAGTGGGGAGCTTTGTAGTTGTGGACTTAGGAGTTGATGGAAAGATGAATGGAAATGTTGTCTGAGATACTTTGGCATTTGTAACGGAGGCAGTGGTAGATCTGTCAAAGACTCCTTGAATGGATGAGGTAGATGATTCGTGAGGAGCGTGTATTGGCGGAACAACTAGAGGAGGCCTCGATGGTCTGTTTGTGGTAGGAGGAGGAGAATCTGTAAGAAAACGGCACTTTAAAATTCCAGACCGGACTCTACCGTTAAAATCTAGCACGGGACGAAAATACTTTTACAAAAAGTAATTAAAAATTTCAATTAACATCCAACACGGTTGCACTTAAAGATAATACATTATTATACCTGCTACACACTGGTAGTGAGCCTCCAAGTACTTCAAGGTATCGGGACAGGGATCACCAAATACTGTATAGGAGGCAAGCACTTTGCAACGCCTCTTCCCACCGCAGCTTAGGAAAATAGAGATCATTTATTTCATCTTAAATTATTATTATTATTTCTGCCATTTTATATTTTGTAAAGTCTGTAATTATTATTCTTTTTTATGCATTATAAAATTTAATAAATCTGCAGCATGACAAAGTTTGATGCTCCCAATAATTTCAGAAGAAAGAATGAAGTTTTTTTCAACAGTTAAAAGATCAACAAAAAAAAAAGTATTCGTAACGCATTATTCCAAGTGATCTCAGGATCAATAAAGTGGGAAGATTAATATTGATTTAATAAAACAAAAAAGAAAGCATTTCTTAAGTAATAGGTCCATAGCTGATAATGTTTGGCACATTTTTTTAACGTTCGTCTTCACAACAATCGATAAAATCGGTTAGAGACGAAAGAATAGTACTAAAAAAAACATATTACTGATTGATAACCAGTTAAATCGGATGTAAAGTCGGATGGTGGGAAGGTAAAACGATCGATAAAAATGAATTTGCAAATAGTATTAAAAAAATATAAAAAGAATTTGTACAGATTTATGGACCTATACAACATCTTTCGCGTGAGTAAGTAGTAAATTCTAACAGAAAAAATCTCCACGTGAATTTGGTTAAAAAACGGAGTTTCTAACCGTGATAAAAAATTAGTTACAGACGTTTTACAATTATAAAATGACGGAAACATGGAAACTGATCAGAAAACTCAAACTTCCTTAAATAAATTAAAAAGAAAAGAGGAAAAAAATGTAAACTCCACTTGGAAATTAGAAAAAGTCTCGTAACTATAGCACAAAAAAACCCGCACTTTAGTACGCGAAAAATTGAGTTTTCTGAAAGGTTTCAACACATATTCTATATATAAATTTTTGGAGTAACTAACCTACTCCTCGACACTGGTATTGCGCTTCTAAGTATTTAACAGTGCCCGGGCAAGGATCTCCAAAAGTAGAACTGGTGACGTTGACAACGCACTCGCTCATCCCCTTACATCTGAAACAAAATTTAAAGAATCCCCATACCATAAGACACAGAGATTTCTTGGAAAAAAGATAAAAGCGATTTAAAAAAAATAAAAAAACAAATTAAACTTAAAAATTTTTAAAGGAAAAAAATTTGAATAAATATAAAAACTAAGAAATAAATTAATTTAAAAAAAAAACATGTTTGTATGCAGTTAACTAGAAAGACTTTCGAGGGTTAAGTAGAAGTAAACTGTCAGTCGTTTCGCTAAGGAAAGTAACAAATTACGCTTAATAGAAAGAAAACAAGATCCAAGCCAAGAGGGAATGACTGATGATAGCAGAGCAGAATCAACTTGTCGTGCTCAACAAAACAAACAAGAGCAGTAAAAAATAGACAAAGGCCAGACACTTATGTGAAGTGCCAGATTTACAGAAGCATCCCTGTGTCTCCCTAGTTAAAAAAAAATTAAATAAATAAAGGTATAGCGATCGCCAACATCACCAGCACGTAGAACGTTAATAATAATTATAATTAATTTTTTTAACTAACTCCTTCAGACTTCTTTTAAAAAACTTTTAAAAAATGATCGAAATTGTGAAACTTTTTAGTCTGAATGAGTTAAAATTGCATTTTAAAATAAAGCGAAATTTATAATTTAAAATCTTGGTAGGAAGGGGGAATAAGGGGAAAAAACGTTTAAGCTGTGCTTCATCCATTTTTCTAATTTTCGTGATAAATGCTTGGAGCATTTTAAGCGGATAAACGGTGAGAAATAGTGGATATCCAGTTTCAATTTTAATCATTTCACGAGGTTTGTATTATTAAAATTAATCTACTTTTCTGACGACTTCTTTCGATTTTATTTTATTTTTCTTTTTTTACAATTTCGCACCTCCATCCCCGACTGGATCCGGTTCATTTACCGTTTTTTTCCAGTCGAACGAATTAAAAGGTGTTTAAAAGGATCCTTTATTAAAAGAGCACGACCCTCTAAAATGAGATAAACGCCTGGATAAACAATTTACTGGCACGCGAAAAGCGGTAGAGGAATTATACGCTGCTGAGACTACTTACGCGACGCGACGCGACGGATCAACAAGTTCGCATTTTTTAACTCCTTGACCTACATCTAGTGGAGTGTTCGACGGAGCGAGAAGAGATACGCAAGACGAGGAAGAATGCAATTTTTTCCAACAGCGTAAACTTTCTAAAAAGCGCGTTTGCTTTGTAGAAAAATTTGGGATTTTCGTCCGGCGTAACGAATCGAAAGTTCAATGACGTTTCCGCGTATCATACGCGTCGATAAGCTCGCGTATATATACGTAAACAGCACACGCGAATGCAGGTTGGCTATTTCAGATATTTTAAAGATTTTTTTTATAATTTATTTCTCAGAAGATTGTCACGTAAATTTGGTGACGTTTATAGAGGCATGTTACTGAAATTGTTTAATGTCCGCGTGAGGTATTAGCGCCCACTTTCCTGTAATAATGATTCGCTTTCAAGTTTCTGTTTTTAAAAAATGATATGTATTATTATGGAGTCAAAAGATTAGATTATACCGAACGTAAATCTCTAGCAATTTGAAAATAACGTCACTCAATAACTTCATATTCGAATCGGTCGCATCGGATGACGGTGCAAATGTCGCGCGCGATCGAACGCGAAAGAAGGTATTGATGGAAAGATCAGATTCGAAGCACAGCTTAACGTAACAATATTTACCGGCTTTCCATTTCACGAAATGAACTGGAAGACATGCAGTCCACGCTCCAATCCAAGGTACCATGCTCGTTGCAGATACTTATACTGAACCTTCCGAAGTTGGCTCTTATTAAATGTATGAGTTCTCCCTCTCCGCAAGATATCTGCAACGTACTCTCTTCGCAAGCGTAGGCCGTCCTGTACTGCGGTCTTTCTGTAAAATACAACAAAATAAATAATTATTCACCACCGGTGAACAACCTACCGCCGAATTTTAGCGGTCGGCGGGGGTCATACTACAATATCCTGTTCTTTTCGCCACTTTACGTACGCGAGTAACGACCTGCTCCTTCGTGACATGTTACCCTGGTAGCGTGGCTTGACGTCACGCTCGCTCATAAAGTAGTACGTCTCGTCGCGGGCGTTATTTAGCCGTTACCCATCTGTCCGGCAAATTACACACCGTGTTACAACCAAAAATAACTGCGCTTATTATCCCGATTAATTATTACTAAACTTATTACCTTAGCGGCATTACTTTTACTAAAAACTGGTCGTCCATCCGCACTAAAACTTTATATTTATTACCTGTCGCACCTGCGACCGCGTAGGTTGCCAGAAGCGACAGCTTAGGAAGCTGTGACAAATGGACGACTGGACTTAACTCCGTCGACCGGGGAATAAATGAATCTGTTCGGGGTGGAGCCGGAGGGGATTGGAAAAGGTAATGCTCCACACGCACGATCGTGTGCAATTATCTGACTCGCCAACAAATTACACATTTCTAAACTCCTCTCCCCCCTGCGACATTAATTCGCAGTTTACTCATTTGCATATCTCGAAGAGTGCCACAGACGAAAGGTTTCTCTTACGTTATTAACGCGTTCTGCCAGGGATATCCTCTACCCCCGTTACTCGGGCAAAATCCCGATTACGGTCTGCAGTTTTGATGGAAAACCCTGCATTTGAAACCGGTTCACACGGCGCGACTTTATCGTCGGGGCGCAACATGCGATAAAATGGAAATTTGCAGATAGGATAAATGCGTTAATATAACGTTAACGGTTAAATTAACGGTCAAAAATATCGGAAAGCGTCATGTGACTAATTCTTGACGTTAATTGGAAGATTTGTTTCCCCAAATAGATTCATTTTTGAAGCTGACGTTCGCTTGCCGTTACAAAGCGCCGCAACGCGTAAAGGCGCCATTTCTGAAATAACCCACTTTAAAAATGTCGTTTTTCTGTAAACTTTTTTAAAAAAATAAATACAAAATTACAAAAAAAGCCTCGTAATATGAACCTGAATTAATTAAACATTTTTTACAACAGAAAAACCATATTTCCTTTTAAAAAATAAATCGTAAAGTACGTTAAGAGGAAGAAAAATTACAAAAATTCATTTCACAGTGACTCTCACCCACGTAGAGTATATAACATTTTTTTTCTTCTCTCTTTTTTTCATCTGGTTGTGTCCGACAGACCGTGAGGTATGCAGTCCGACACATGGAATACAGGAAGTGCACCAGCTGTCAGTACCTATTGTTTTGGTGATACATCTGGTTTCCATGACACAACCATAACAGAATAACGACGACCCAAAACCCGCTTTGCAGCAAGTCGCCAAATTACGTCTCAAAAATTGCCAAAATGTATATACCAAAACTCGAAACCCGTAAAAGGGGGGAGGAAAGACTGCGCGCGAGGAACTTAGGAAATTTATTAATTCGAAATTATTCGGGATAATTATATTATTTTAAAAGCTCACAAAGATGAGTAACAATTGCCATTGTCGTTAAAATGGCGACAGTTATCGCCCGGCGATATGTTAGATGGCAGGGGGGGAGTAAACAGCCATCCGAGCCAAGGTGACAAACAGAGTCTGTCACAGATAACGGCCCCGCGCCAAGCAGAAGTGGGTAATTATGTGCGGCCGTATGTACTGTCGTATCGACCTCTGACGTAATATAAAACGAAATGCTTAATTTTGCGAAAAGGCAAATTGGGAGCGTGTCGTAACATAAGTAGTAATAAAACGGAATTGTTCGGACTGCAAATTTTACGGTTATTTTAATAAATACTGCATTATGTCGGACGATGAAACTCGCCTCGTTTGCATAATCGTTTGCCCCTTATACCGATCGGTTTTTAACTCCGAAATGCGAATTTGCCTGGTTTTTCCTTCTAAAATTTCTTCATAATGTAGTAATAAAGAGCGTTTCTGTGTACATAAGCGCGCTTCTATATACGTGTGTACGCTTTTTTTTTTGTGCACGAGCTATACAAGTAATTTACATGAATAGAAGCATAAATGTGTAATAAACGTTTTTTACTGTGTACCTGACACGTCCGTCTGTACGTCTGTATTTATACAACTGTTGTGTATGTGAGCGTGTGTCTAGTCTGAGAGTTAAGAGTCGACAGAAATCTGAGAAATAGGAGTTTGACACTAACACGTTTAGATATTTTTGAGTTTCTGTCCGTGTGTATTTAGTTCGTGATCTAGAACTGGAAACAGAAGTTTATATTTTTACCAAAAACGTGGAACCATTCCAAAATCTGTATTATATAATGACAAAATAAATCACGAATTGGCCATATCGAAATTTTTAAATCACGATTTTCACTCCATAAAACACGGGGATTTGACTAGAAATTGTTTTTATCTTCTCCGCCCCTCTTTGGTTCGCTTCCATTCCAAAGGGGTAAGTAATAATTGGCACGTGATCTTTAACCGAGTAACGTGTTCGAGGTGCAGACTCATCACTATTGTCAAAGAGACTAAATTAGAAACGGGCGATAATTAAGCCGACTTATTTACTATGACCTCAATGATAATTACTTATTGTTTAGTAAATTGATCGTCGAATGTGACCCGCTTAGTTTCTTATTTAAAATGATAAAGCTTAATGACAATCGTCGTACTTAAATCATCGATCCCCAGCGGATTTGTCCATTTTTCCTAATTAAGATTCTCTCTGGTGGATTTTACACAAGTTTTACATCTTTTCCATTTGGAAGAGCAAACCAGAACTAATCAGATGACGAATTTTAGAGTTAAAAACACTTAGAAAATCAAGAAAGACGAGAGAACGGCGCAGATTTTCTTAGTAGCCATTCAACCGCGTGTAAAAAAAAAATCGTAAGTCCAAAATAATTTAAGTCGGAAGCAGACATTAAAATCTTCTAAGTATTTTAAGACAATAGCACCTGCTGCGAAATTTCGTTTTCCTTACAATTAAGGTCAACAGGCCCACGTGACCGAGGGGTGAACGTCGATGATTAATTACCGACTGACTGACTACTATCTTATTTGCCAAGAATGCCGACAGACAAACAGATGGCCACTCCGAGACTAATGACAGTTTTAAATATTGGAAGAAGAAGTGAAAAAAAAGGTAATACTAATAGGAAAAGATGGGGTAATTGTGACGTAATGAGACGGTGGACGAAAACACCTTTTTGACTTCTGAAGTTCTTATCCAATTAAGTTACGAAGGGTGATCAAACATCGTGAATCAGCAACGTTCTTCAACTATTCTTCGGAGAATACTACTGTACAGTACTGTACGTCACGTTCCTTCTACTTGTAGTTGTACGACATTAATTTAGTTTAATGATTTTGGGTTTGTTTGAACTCTTTAAAGTGCTTCTTTTTCTACTATTTTATCTGTTTATAGTAGTTTTACGTTAAAGTAACAGCTTCTTTAATCATCTCTATTGATTACTTATCAAACGTACGTCAGAACGAGTGTATTTTTGACGAATTTTTATAGAAAATATTTGTACACTTCTATTAAAAGAAATATCTATAGAAAGAAGTTATATGTTAGAAAGGAGGTTTTCCTTCAGAAACACTTGCGGAATAATTGCAGGAAGATGTTCCTATTAGAAAGTGTTCCTTGTTAAGATCTACGAGGATAAAACACTTACAGGACGTTTATTACAACAATGACTTCCTTTCAGGAATCTTACAGAAAAATAATTTGTACGAGTACCTTTATAATAAATTAAAGAAGAATATAGCTTACCACCAAACTATTTTAAATCATTTTTTGGGCAAAATTTATTAATTAATGGAGCAATAATGCAAATTTAAAGCCGCACCACTTAATAATTTAAGCTAATTTATTCAAATTTAAATCATAATATTAGTTAGTTACATTGAATCATTGATAAGATTCAAATAGAACTAAAGAATATCTTTTAAGCTATAAATAAAATCCGAATTTATACAATAGGAAGTATCTTCCAGCTCAAAAAGCCCCATCCTTCTCAGATAAAGCCAGACAAATTTCATCTTCCGTCAATGGTAAACTGAATTCGGACAGACAGACATACGTCAAAACAAGGTATATTGAGAAAAGCTTAATACTCCATTTGAGCCTCGTATAGAGAAATGCATTTTTATTCTATCATATTATTGCAGAAGGACCTTCATTATTCTTTGATTGGTTCTGGTTCAGGTGATTTGATCTGACCGAATTCCAAATGGCAATTACCTTTACAAGCGAAGATTGCCGATAAGGGGAGTTGCCATTACCAGCCATAAGGTAACATCTGTACTATAATTAGGAAAAGACCAAGAACATACTTAATGGACGTCGGATACTTAAAGGAAACCGATACAAAATAGTTTCCGAAGACATGCAACGTAATGGTTCTCCCTTTCGACCAATAATACGCTTTCGACTTTTATCATTTTTTCCCTTATTCTGGCTCGAAAAGAGTCTCGCGTGTAAGCGAATTCTAAGATTTTTCGTCCAGTAAACATTGCTTGTGTTTATGAAACCACAAACAATGACTTACGCATGCTTGCTGCATTCGATATTGCTCTTTACCCTGTGATATTCACAAACAACTAAAAAGTTTTCTACGTAAAGTGGATTCTAATGATTAAAACGAAGTACTATTGGATTTAAGTTTAGTGTAAAATACGAGGAGAAAGTCCAGCTAGTTAACAGATGTCTCACCAGAGGCGAAATTGGTGCTGCTGTATTAACAGGAAGAAAAGCTGTTTAATGTAGGCTATGCGTCATTGGTAGGATACACACGACAGACCTCTGTTTTATCGAAATTGTCTACCTTTTAATGGTAACCGGATGTCACAAGTTCAATTTGACAAAAAGGGAGAGAGAAAATGACGTCAGATCAACGTAAGCCTGCACATTAATCCCGACGAAACTATCTCATTCGAGTCTTATTGCCAAGTGTA